GAGTGATTGCCTGCCATCAGGCACTGGCTACCGTGCGTGAGGTGGAGGTGGGTGTGAATGTAGGTGGCCCATTGAGGAGGGGAGGGTTGCAGTAGGGGCCACCAACTTGCGCCAGGCCAGTAAGGCGTGACGAGAGTGATGGCGGCGCGAGTTCGTTTCGCGTGGTGGAGCACTGCTGGGATTAAGTGCGGTGGAGGGAATGCGTATCCCTGCTCGGAGGTCCATGGGATCGAGAATGCGTCAACTGCCGCTGCGTCTGGGTGCAGTGTTTTGGAGCAGAATCGAGGTAGCTTGGTATTGCTCCCATTTGCGAATAGATCGATTGAGTGCGGGCCCAGGCGGCGCTCGATGAGCCGGAACCAAGGTGTCTTTAGTGAGTAGTCGTCACTATCGAGCGCCTTGGAGAGTTCATCCGCCCGTGTGTTTAGTTCGCGCGGGATCCATTCGACCACGAGCCGAATCCGAAAAGTCATGCATGTCTGGATGATCGACTTGCACGTCGCTGTAAGGTTGGTGTGCCTTGAACCACCTTTCCGAAGGATGAAGAAAACGCCTTGGTTATCGGTCCTTGCGAGGACGTGCTGGTCGCGGATTCTTTCTGAAAACGTTTGGAGTGCCCATAGAATGCCATCTATCTCTCGCTGCGTGCTGGATGCCTCTAGCAGATGCTTCGGCATTGCCGCACTTGCCTCGATACGCCGTCCTGGGAACTTGTCCAACGTCGCTCCCCAACTGTGTGCGCTGGCATCCACATGGATGACGGCATCGTAGCTGTTGGGGACGTGAAATGGGGCGCCGTTGAATTTGTCGAACTCGTGGCGCCAAAAGTCCAGTTCTTCAATCGCCATAGGGTCCAGCAGCACTTTACAATTCCATGATGGTGCCTGCTGGATTGCCTGCAGCAGGCCTTGACTGAACGCTCGTGTCGTCGCCCCAAGAGCCAGTGACATGGATGCCAGCATGCCGGTGACTCTGGCGATGTGACGGACTGGGACCTTGCGTTCTGCCTTTCCTTCCCTCAGAAGGACTCGGAGGGTGGAGAGTAGTGAGGCTCGACGTTCAGCGCCGATAGAGAACTGACCACGGTCAGTGTCTAACTCGACGCCCAGGAAACGCAACTGCTGGGTCGGTTGTAGATGCGACTTTTTCGAGTTGATGACAAGCCCTGCCTTGTTGAGGTCATGTATGATTGATTGACATGAGGCTCGTGCTTTCGCTTCCGTGTCACAAAGGAAGAGGATGTCGTCGACATAAGGAATGACCCGTATGCCCATGGCTCGCCAGCGCCGAGCGAGTTGTTTGATCAGTTGTGTAAAAACGAATGGGGCCGTCGCGAGGCCGAACGGGAGCGAGCGGAATATGTATGTCTTTCCGTCAAATCGAAATCCCAGGTACTTCCAGCACGATGGGTGAATATCCACGTGGTGATACCCAGACTTTAGGTCGATAGAGAACATCCAGTCGCCCACGCGAGCGATCTCCGCAACCCGATTGAGCCCCTCGTACTTGAATTTTGGAATGCGCAGGTGCAGGTTCACTTGGCGGAGGTCGAGGATCAGTCGGCATTTCTCTCTTTGGACCACCACGTTCAGTGGGCTAATGCATACGGTCTGAGCCGCGGGGGCAAGAGCAGCTGCGCCGCTTTCTAGGAGCTCGCTAATAGCCTGTTTGGTAAACTGGGCGTGGATCTGTGCGCCCGCGTGATTGTCGCGCTGGAACGGCGCTGGGGGGATGAGTTCCCACGGCATCCAGTAACCGTGAAGTATCACTGAGAGTGTGAAGCTGCTGTCGCACCATGAGCTCCACCATGGGAATGCCAAGCGTAGCCGACCGCACATCTTTGTGACGAGCTTATCTGTGATCGCGTATTCGTAGGGGATGTGTCGCTCGCCCATCCCGCCATCCGGTGGATCTGTGCAACGGGTCGCAAAAAGGGCACAGGCTGTGAAGACGTTTTTTTTTTTTTTTTTTTTTTTTTTTTTTTTTTTTTTTTTTTTTTTTTTTTTTTTGCATCAGCTCTAATTGCTATTAATACGAGTGCATGTACTAGCGAACAACGGGGCAGTGTATGGCCGAACCCTCACGAGGTAGGCCATTTACCCACCCTTCCCCTTCTCTTTCATATTGATACGTTCACCTCTCTCTCCCTTGTTGTTGTTGTTGTTGTTGTTGTTGTTGTTGATTTGTTTTTTTGTTTTTTTTTTTTGTTTTTTTTTTTTTTTTTGTCTTTCAACGCCTAATATACACGTCCTTAGGCTTGCCGTATGTGCACCCGAGGGCTCTCGATGTTCGACGAGCTCGGGGTGGGCTGCCGGATTGTGCTTTGCACATTTTTTATGATAACGTGCCTTGTCTCGTGGGCTCTTTGCCCATCGTGTCAATTGCGCGTAGTAATATGCTTCGTATGCCCTCCTTGTGCGCTTGTCGCGCAAGTGGCCCTCTCGTGTCCCGTTAAATTGGGCTGGTGCTGGCCAAATAGTGTGGCCTCCTTAAGAGTCAACATCTTCATCATCTCACACTTCTCCTTGTCTTTCGTTCTTTCTCCTCTTCTCCCCCCCCCTTTTTTTTTTTTTTTTTTTTTTTAGTACCTCAACCGCTTAGGCCTCACTCTCCGAGGGCTGCTCGCTTCAATAATCCAGGTTCCAATATTTTAAATTTCATTCATTAAGCCACACATCAACGATTGTCCACATGACTTGCCTCTCCGGCCCATATTTCATGCTTTAACACGCATACAACTCATGATTGCCACCCATGGCTAAGTCCTAGGACTCCTAGTCCTACTCCCTTCCCTAGGGGTCGGCCGGCGGCCATTCTACTCGCCCCGCAGGGTCTGGCCAGCGGCCTAAGCACACCATGTTGCCCATGCAACGTGCTCTCGGCGCCCCAAGTGGTTTCCCTCTCATAGGGTCACACCACCGGCGCGGGTCCTTGGGCCCCTCGCCCATTATCGGGGCACATATTGGCCATGTGGCCGGGCTGTCCGCACTTGAAGCAGGTTCCACGAAAGCTCCTGATGTTGTTGTCCATTGGTGGACCACGTTTGTTGCCAAATGCACCGGTTCCTCGCCCTCCACCTCGTGCGGCGCGGCCGGGGTTGCCTTGGGCGCGTTCCATGGCCGCAACGTCCGCCATGGCTTGCTTGAATGGGCGCGAGGTGAACAAGCTCTTCTCTTCATACATCTTGAACCGGTTAGCGACGTGGAAATTCGTGTAATCGGCAACGTGGAGAAGCTTGAAACGATTATTGACGAGCGAGAGCGCCTCCTCGAGGAGTTCGATGGCGCTTGCCGGTTCGTTGAGCCGCACTTTCTGCTCCGCATGCATCAGGTAGGCGCGCAGGTCCTCAAGGAGCTCGGCTTGTTCACGAACAGCAGCGTTCTTGAAGGAAGATGCGGTGAGGTTAGGGTTGGAGGTAGGGAGGGGGGGGAGGTGCTCGGTGGTTGAAAAAAATGCATTATCGGCAGGTGCCTCACCAGCTTCGTCGTCGGAAGTGTCGCTGTCGGCGGGATTTTCTGGGGCCGGGGTAGCTTTGGCGGTGGTGCCCTCGGCGCGTGCGATTTTTGCCGTGCGAGCGCGTTTCACCGTCTCCCTTTTTTCCTTCGCGCTTTTAGCCGAAATTGACGTTTCGTTTGGTGTAGCGTTGGTTTCCGTAACGGCGGGAGCTTGCTGCTGTAACAGGGACAACAGCTGCTGCAGTTGGGCCGATGTGAAGACAGGCGAGGCCACAGGCGCGTTAGGGGCTTGAGGCGCGTCAGGGACCTGAGGCGCGTCAGGGCCCACGTGCGCCTGAGGCCTCGCGTCAGGCGCGTGTGCCTGCCTGCGGCGCTGACGCTGACGGGGGGTGCCGGTCGCGCTGGCCGGCGTTGACTGCCGGCGCCTCAGGCCCCTCAGGGTCCACTTGCGCTCGAGGCACCCCAGGGGCGCGTGCCCCAGCGACGTCGGACAGCAGAATGTCGACGGCGGTCGGGGTCGACTCCTCGTCGTCTGCCCGACGCTTGTTCCGGCGTTCGCCCGCGGGTTCGCGGGTAATATTTCCGTCGTCGGGACGAATTGAAGCGTTGGCGTTGTCACCGTTCTCGCCGTTAAGTGCCATAGTCGCCGCGTTATGAGCGAAAATGTCAGAAAGGAGTGTGGACGGAGACTGGAAACGAGGTAGTGACTTCAATTTCGCCAGCTTGGAATTGGGAACTCGGAAACTAGGCTAAGCCGTTTGAAAATGAGAGATGTGGGTGGAGGGAAATGACCTCCAGCCCACGTTTTGTACTCCAAAACGGGCGTTTAGCGCGGTTCGCCGATGACCATTGCTACATTACAAGCCGCTTCGCTTTCAAAATACAAAATTTTGAAAAGCGTTACAGCCTTTAAAAATATTCATGTCAAGGTAGAGCTGGACATACGGGTCGTTCGTGAGTTGTGACTTGTGGTGCGATATGGTGCGATTCGGTTCCCGATTTCTCTGCTGTATTGCAGGGGGGGGGACTTCGATGTGACACGTTGGTCGTACAGCTCGCTCATTGGGCAATCAAGGAACAAGTGCGATCGATTCGGAAAAATGAGGGAGGGAGGCGAAATGAGAGAAAAAAATGAAGCCGGTGGGGTGCAGTAAGTTTCTAGACGATAAAGCTTGGTTCTGGATTTGTACCGCTTTTGAACGTAGAATCAGTATAAAATCATCAGACCATGAAAACTCATATAGGCATGACTAAGCATCAACATTTACGCCTTGTTATGCTAATGCCAGTTTTTTTGCCTAAATGTTGAAGTGTGGATTTTTTATGCTGCACTTATTTATCGGTAAAATAGAACATGCAAAGCAAAAAAAGAACTCTGCAAAGCCAAATATAGAGCATCAAGGGTTTAGGAAGATTTGGAAGAGCTTTATTCTTAGCTCTGCTCACCCAAATCAGCTCTTTATTTCTTCTCCCCCCTTGGTTCGTCTCCTCTGCTCCACTGAAGTCTTTCAAGTTAACCACTTGAGGTCGATGCAACCTGATCTCCTAGGCCTTCCTGAACTGACCGCGCACGGCACCATCGGGATACTTCTTGGTGTGAATGTTCCCGTAAAACTCATGCGGGTGCTTCGTGATCCTCTTGAGTGTCCACAGCAGAGCACGCGTGCGCTCGTTCAGGGGCTCACCCAGTGATCCCTGGCAGACCCACTCGCTGCTGCTCTTCTTCTGATACGTGCACGGCAGGTCCAGCAGCTTTGCTCCGTTCCGCCCCTTCGTGCCGTTGTGCACGTGGGTCATGGTCGGCGGCATCTCGCCTTCCAAATTCGACGTTTTCACCGAATACGCCACAAATACGGGCTCCCCGTTGCTCCTGATCATGGGTGATGTAAAAAAAGAATAATAATAAAACTGAGATTCGAAGGCGTTCACTGAGATTCAGAACTTTCAAGAGATTGTCTGAATCAAGACTACGACTCACTTGCAACAGATACAGCATACTCTCTCGATGTATGTAGGTGGTAGGATATGCACTCACTTATGAATGTCCAGCTTCATATCCACAGTGCCGCGCTTGTCCCCAACGGCGTTCCTGGCAGCTTCGGAGTTATTCTTGGGAATCTCGTTAGCCCCAACCAGCGCGGACGTGAAGCTCTCTGTTCAGGGGAGGGGAGGGGAGAGGAGGGGAGACCGAAGGGGTGAGGAGGGGAGACCGAAGGGGTGAGGAGGGGAGACCGAGGGGGTGAGAGGAGGGGAGACCGAGGGGGTGAGAGGAGGGGAGACCGAGGGGGTGAGAGGAGGGGAGACCGAAGGTGAGAGGAGGGAAGACCGAGTTGGGTGAGAGGAGGGAAGACAGAGGGGGTGAGAGGAGGTGCGACCGAGGGGGGTGAAAGAAGGGGAGACGGAGGGGGGTGAAAGAAGGGGAGACCAAGGAGGTGGGGGAGGGGAGGGGGGAGGGAGAAGGGTAGAGGAAGTCAGTGGGGAGTACAATGAAGTGGAGAAAGTGGAGAATCTAAAAGATGCGAACGGGTAAGGAAGTGGAGAAGGAGGAGTTGGTGGGGAAGGCGCGAAGCACTGACTAGGTTTCCAGCTGTCGCCTCTGTTGTTGTCGTCGTCGCCTGCGAAAGCCACCGCCACCATCGCCGCGAGGAAAGCTGCTGCAGGAAAGCACACGTGGCGAAAACGGACGATCATGTTACCACCATGCGACGTAAATCGTGTCAATCCGCACAGGATCATTGCTATAGCAGCTGCGTATGTTGCAAACAATGAGTTTGAAAAGGCGAACACTGACTGACAGGCCGTGGTGTGGGGGTACTCGAATTCATACTAATCATCACTTGGAGTAGGCTGCATACCTAGTATCAGGACGCGGCGAGCCTGAGTGAAAGCCATTACTCGGGAGCGAGTGGAGGCTGGTGCAAGCTGAGAGCGGAAGAGGAAGGTATAACTTGGCTGTTATAGAAGCGAGGAAGGCGGATTCTAGCTGGATGGAATCGTAGGGACGCGAAACACCCTCTTTATAGCTACTACGTCGACAGTCTGGAATGCGTGAGCAAAGCACTGACAAGGCATCGAGACTGGAGATGCGTCGTGCGCGCCTCGCATAATCGCGAAGCGCGAACGAGAAGTACGCGTGCGAAGCACTCGAGAAGTAATCGCATCCAGGAAGAGCCGCGGCGCATTTTCGTGATCTAGTAGGTACTTTTGTGCGAGGAGGCGCGTCCTGCGCGCCCTCAAATAATCGCGACGCACGGGAAAACTCTAGTGAGCTGAGCAGGATGGTCGCCACGTCAACAACTATGTCGCGCACAGGAAAGCCCGGTTTTGCCCGTCACTAGTAGCTCCCGAAATCCCCATCGCAAAATTCGGCGATTCTGGAAGGAGCCCCAGGGTGCACATGCAAAAGCGAGGCAATAATGTGATTATTGAAAAACATTATATGGCTAGTAGGCGGTAGAAATGAAAGCCATGGCGGTAGGTAACACATGAGCATGCCCGTGCCACTGTCACTGGTTGAGAGTTCGACAAAGCAGAGAGAAGTGAATAATTTCCAAGTTTTTCTCCGAGGTTGAACGGGATGTGGAGGCATTGCACTTCGGTGTGGATGGGTTGAATCTCTTAGACCCAGCGGCAAATGCGCTGGGCTCGTGGCTGTTCGTGGTTTCTTGCGCTGTAAGATGTACCGTTTAATAGTGCGTGTTAACGGCGCGAAACATTCAGTGAAATGCAACCAAGGCACGATAGAGGAATAATCCGCTACATAATAACATCTGTTCTCTTTGTACAGTGGAAAATCGTTTTCAATCTTCACTGCTTTCCTGTTCTAACACTGGGTGCACAACTGTGGGCTACATTCAATTTCTACCTTTAAACAGCCCCTCTCATACAATACCGTACAATCTTTCGCAACAACTCAGCAGCATATCAAAACCCATAGATGCAGGGGCAGGGCAGGCATCATCAGACCAGAAGCCACACACACAGCACAATAGGAAATTTACCTGAAAGGTTGAAAAAGAGAACCTACCGTAGTATATACATGTATCTCAGACCATAACAAAATCTGTGAGGCCATCATAAGCACACACAGCTGTAGCTTTACACGCTTCGTCAACTCTCTGCCACGTCAGCATCTCCTTGTCCCTGTTTTTCCCCTCCGCCAACCGGACCCCCCTCTTCTCGCCTGCCCTGAGCACGCCAGTACTCGTCCAGCGGCTGCTTGAAGAGGAAGTAGCCCGATGCAACACCCACCCTGCAGAAAATAAGGACGAGGGGGGTGGTAGATTGAGCTGGGTACCAGCTATACAAGAGGCTGCTTGAAGAGGAAGTAGCCCGATGCCACGCCCATCCTGCAGAAAACAAGGGAGAGGGAGGTAGTAGATTGAGCTGGGTGCCAGCTATACAAGAAGGTGCTTATAAAGGAAGTAGCCCGATGCTACTCCCACCCTGTGCAGCTGAAGGGAGAGGTGGATGTTAGATTGGGAGGTGCTCAGCGTGTATTGAGTGGGTGCTGGGGTGGAATGGAAGTAGCCCCAAGCCATGCGCACTCTGTCAAGCAGAGGTGGGAATGGGTGAGGAAGAAGGGGAAAGTGGGTACTGGAAGCTGAGAAAAGATCAGGGGAAAGTGCAAGGGGAACGGAAATGGGGGAAATGAGAGACGAAATGGAGGGGGTTGGAAGGGAAGAAATTAAGGGATGGGGAAAGTAGGTTGAGACGCAACAAACAGGCCAGTGAATGATTGAAACGGAAGCTGCTGGGTGGTTGAAACGGAAACTGTGGAAGGAAAGCTGCTGGCTGCAACTCGCATACAAAGTCATTTGTTTAGTCAAATCACAGATTTATTCCCATACTGTGCGCACGAGACCAGCACTGGCATGCGCACATGGGGAAGAGAGGGATGGGGATGGGGTGATGGGGAAAAGGACTTTAGAGACCACAGGACTGAACGGAGGCGGCTTCTGCTGCGTGGAATTATCCATCATGGACCTACATTTACTCTGAATATAGGCTCCCCTTTAATATATAGAAGAGAAAAACTCACAGCATCGCAATCGCGACTTGATCCAGCGGAAGGCGAGGTCGCCGGTACATTTGTGGCGGCTGACCACTGCGGACCAGTTACCGTTGACGGCTGACGATTAGCCGTCAACTGGCGGCTGTTAACTGTTGATTGTAACCTGTTAGCCGGTGTGCGCGGACTATTGAGAGGACAGAGTCGTGGAAGCGAAAAGAGGAAACACTGGGTAGACGAGGGAAAGTTACTGGGAATGACGCGTTCGGAAAACGGACTACTAGAGGACTACACGACAACGGCCGCCGCTATTTCATCCCTGAATCTGAACTAGAAACTAACTACTAATGCACATATTGGGAGACGCACGGACAAAAACGAGAGAGCTCGTTGGGGTCTGAGAGCTAGTGAGAGATGCAGAAGCAGTGCACACCAACAAGCATGAAGCTGGATTCGGGGTGTCACTGCTACGCAAGATTTTATGCAATGCGGTGCTGTGCGTGGCGGGACGATATGCTTACATTCTAGAACGTTTCAGTAGGGTCAAGGAGAGAGGAATTGCTCGTGACTTGGGAGAATGCAATGGGTAGTTCGTATGAAGATTTTGTTTAGTTGGTGAACTGACGGTTCTTAACAATTAGCTCATCTACGCGTACAATAAGCCTGTACAGATTTCGTGGGGTAACCACTCTAGCCGAATCTAGTTTCCCGTGGCGACGTTCGTCGGGTCGGTAACCTGGATTTCGGTTTCTGACATCCCCAAGGTTCTCGGCTCGCTCCCTGACAAGCCACACTTCCACTCCATCCCCACCGCCACTGCCTCGTTTCGAATTTGAGCGGCAAATCTGGGAACTTCAGCGAGGTACCTAGCGACGAGCCGCGTCTGGTTGCCCGTTTTTTTGGAGTTCAATTCTTGCTCGTGTAACACTCGCGAAAGCTCTTGCGAATACCCTATCTCAACCGCGCTGTACCGCGTATCGCCATGGACGCGATGCGGGAGAATCTCGCGTATTTACTCGACCAGCGGCTGTACGAGTCGGCTGAGATCCTCGTGAGTGGCTGCGACGGCTAGTAGCTACAGTGCTTTCCGAGGTAACGGTTAAATGGCCGTCACTGCATACTGACGCACTCTAGAGTAGGATACGAGGCGCAATGACGCGTCATACATGCTCTCACTCAAGGATCACATCTATACGATACGATACGATACGATACGATATTGCGAACCCTTTCAGGTCCACCCTTTCCCCACTCCGGTCACCGACGAGTCTCTGTGCTTTCCGTCCCACGCTCTTTCAGGGAAGCTTCCTGGTCTCTGCAGCCGGGCCGGGCAGCGACGTGCCGGCAATATCGAGGGCGGAGAATCTCGTGCTCTACGCGGACGCGCTCTTCGGGCGGCAAGAGTTCCGCCGCGCGCTGGTGGGTGCGCGGAGAGAGAGAGAGAGAGAGAGAGAGAGAGAGAGAGAGAGAGAGAGAGAGAGAGAGAGAGAGAGAGAGAGAGAGAGAGAGAGAGAGAGAGAGAGTGCGCTGGTGGGTGCGCGGAGAGAGAGAGTGCGCTGGTGGTTGCGCGGAGAGAGAGAGTGCGTTGGTGGGTGCGCGGAGAGAGAGAGAGGGTGCGCTGGTGGTTGCGCGGAGAGAGAGAGAGTGCGCTGGTGGGTGCGCGGAGAGAGAGAGAGCGTGACGGGGCGTGCGCCTCAAAACAGTCCTTGCCACCGCAACGCATTGTCGCATCAGCTATGCCCCCCTTCTCCCCCCTGCCCTCCTCCCACCCCTTTCTTTCCGCTTGCCCTCTCTCTCCTCCCCTCTCCAAGCCCTCTCTCGCCTCTCTCCCAGAATTTGAGATCCCTCAAAGCTCGCCCCTCCCTCCCCTCCCTCACAGAACAGATACCACCAGACAACTTCTGAGACGAGCCACCTTTCTCCCCGCTTCCTCTCCCCTCTCCCCCTTGTTCCCCCCTTCCCCCCTCCCTTTCAGAATCGATACCACCAGACAACTTCTGAGACGAGCCCTCCCTTCTCCCCCTTCCCCTCTCCTCTCCCCCTCTTTCCCCACTCCCCCCTCCTCCCCCCCCCCCCCCGTCCCTCTTTCAGAACCTCTACCGCCAGGCACAGCAGCTCTGCAAGGTGGCCGGCCACGCGGGCGGCAGCAGTCGGACTGTTCCCGGCAGCCCTGCCACTGTAGCAGGCACTGTAGCCAGCGCCGGCCTTGGGACTCCCGCCCAGTCAGGCGGCTACAGTGCAGGGGGGGTGGGGGCGGGCGGAGGGGGAACGGGGGGAGGATCAGGGGGAGTGGGGCGGTATGGGGGGTTGGGGCAGTCAGGGGGAGGGAGCGGGATTGGGGGGGGTGGGGGAGGGGGGAGAGTGGGAGTTGGGGGGGGGATGTCTATGGGGTGTTTGCCTATGGTTTCAGGGGGAGCGTGTGTGGGAGGAGCAGGGGGAGGGGGAGGGGGCGTGGTTGGCGGAATGGGGGGTGGAGGGGCGAGCATGGTGGCCTTGGATACAGACGTGGGGAAGGCAGAGGTAAGCTGAATGAAGGGCACAGGTGAGCAAGGAATTTTGAGACGTCACAAAAAAGGGCAGAAGGGGTGGAGGGGCGAGCATGGTGGCCTTGGATACAGACGTGGGGAAGGCAGAGGTGAGCAAGACGTTTGTTTCCACTCCCTTTCCCACTGCCTTTCCAGCCTCCCTCCTCTCCCCCTCTGCTCCCTCCACCTCCGCTTAATCTCTTCCTGTCCACTCTTTTCAACACCTACTCTCTGCTTTCCCACTCCTCATTTTCCACTCTCCCACTGTGGCGCACGTGCCCTATTGCCTTTCCGTCCTCCCTCCCTCTCTCCATCTCACCCACACATGCCACACGTGCCCCACACATGCCACACGTGCCCCACACATGCCACCCGTGCCCCACACATGCCACACGTGCCCCACACATGCCACACGTGCCCCACACATGCCACACGTGCCCCACACATGCCACACGTGCCCCACACATGCCACACGTGCCCCACACATGCCACACGTGCCCCACACATGCCACACGTGCCCCACACATGCTACCCGTGCCCCACACATGCCGCCAGGTGCGGCTGCGAGTGGCAGAGTGCTATGTGGCGTTGAAGGAGGTCAAGCCCGCCCTCACATCTCCCCCTCTCCCTCTCTCCCACACATGCCCCACACTCTCTCTCCCACACATGCCCCACACTCTCTCTCTCCCACACATGCCATCAGGTGCGGCTGCGAGTGGCAGAGTGCTACGTGGCATTGAAGGAGGTCAAGCCCGCCCTCACAGAGGTGAGTGAGTGGTGTGTTACGGACCATGGTCAATCTAGTCTAGCAGGTCACTGAGGTCAAATGCTCAGAATCAGGCCATTCAGGTCAATCAGGTCAATTAGATCGGTTGAATTTAAATCAACTAGGTCAATCAGGTCAGACAAGTCAATAAGTCAATCCAATTGGACAAGTCAATCCAATTGGACAAGTCAATCCAACCAACCACCACCACCTTTCCAAGCCCCATGCCGGTTCTGTGTCTCAACCTGCTGCTCGCCCATCTCTACACCCTCGTCACCCCTCGTCACCCCTCTTCACCCTCTCTTCCTTCTCACCCTCCTCCCGTCCCACCCCTCTTCCCCCTCCTCCCCCTCCCCTCTCTCTCAGCTGGAGGCAGTGCCTCACCGCCTGCGCTCGCTGCGACTCAACCTGCTGCTCGCCCGCCTCTATCGTTCCAGCAGCTACGACCGTGCTGCTCTCACTGCATACAAGGAATGCCTCAGGTGCGTGTTGCTTCTGCCAGTGAATTAGCTGCACTCTAGTCGTGCCTCTCTATCGTTCCAACAGCTACGACCGTGTTGCTCTCACTGCATACAAGGAATGCCTCAGGTGCGTGTTGCTTCTGCCAGTGAATTAGCTGCACTTTAGTCGTGCCTCTCTATCGTTCCAGCAGCTACGACCGTGCTGCTCTCACTGCATACAAGGAATGCCTCAGGTGCGTGTTGCTTCTGCCAGTGAATTAGCTGCACTCTATTCGTGCCTCTCTATCGTTCCAGCAGCTACGACCGTTCTGCTCTCACTGCATACAAGGAATGCCTCAGGTGCGTGTTGCTTCTGCCAGTGAATTAGCTGCACTCTAGTCGTGCCTCTCTATCGTTCCAGCAGCTACGACCGCGCTGCTCTCACTGCATACAAGGAATGCCTCAGGTGCGTGTTGCTTCTGCCAGTGAATTAGCTGCACTCTAGTCGTGCCTCTCTATCGTTCCAGCAGCTACGACCGTGCTGCTCTCACTGCATACAAGGAATGCCTCAGGTGCGTGTTGCTTCTGCCAGTGAATTAGCTGCACTCTAGTCGTGCCTCTCTATCGTTCCAGCAGCTACGACCGTGCCGCTCTCACTGCATACAAGGAATGCCTCAGGTGCGTGTTGCTTCTGCCAGTGAATTAGCTGCACTCTAGTCGTGCCTCTCTATCGTTCCAGCAGCTACGACCGTGCTGCTCTCACTGCATACAAGGAATGCCTCAGGTGCGTGTTGCTTCTGCCAGTGAATTAGCTGCACTCTAGTCGTGCCTCTCTATCGTTCCAGCAGCTACGACCGCGCTGCTCTCACTGCATACAAGGAATGCCTCAGGTGCGTGTTGCTTCTGCCAGTGAATTAGCTGCACTCTAGTCGTGCCTCTCTATCGTTCCAGCAGCTACGACCGTGCTGCTCTCACTGCATACAAGGAATGCCTCAGGTGCGTGTTGCTTCTGCCAGTGAATTAGCTGCACTCTAGTCGTGCCTCTCTATCGTTCCAGCAGCTACGACCGTGCTGCTCTCACTGCATACAAGGAATGCCTCAGGTGCGTGTTGCTTCTGCCAGTGAATTAGCTGCACTCTAGTCGTGCCTCTCTATCGTTCCAGCAGCTACGACCGTGCTGCTCTCACTGCATACAAGGAGTGCCTCAGGTACGTGTTGCTTCTGCCAGTGAATTAGCTGCACTCTAGTCGTGCCTCTCTATCGTTCCAGCAGCTACGACCATGCTGCTCTCACTGCATACAAGGAATGCCTCAGGTGCGTGTTGCTTCTGCCAGTGAATTAGCTGCACTCTAGTCGTGCCTCTCTATCGTTCCAACAGCTACGACCGTGCTGCTCTCACTTCATACAAGGAATGCCTCAGGTGCGTGTTGCTTCTGCCAGTGAATTAGCTGCACTCTAGTCGTGCCTCTCTATCGTTCCAGCAGCTACGACCGTGCTGCTCTCACTGCATACAAGGAGTGCCTCAGGTGCGTGTTGCTTCTGCCAGTGAATTAGCTGCACTCTAGTCGTGCCTCTCTATCGTTCCAGCAGCTACGACCGTGCTGCTCTCACTGCATACAAGGAATGCCTCAGGTGCGTGTTGCTTCTGCCAGTGAATTAGCTGCACTCTAGTCGTGCCTCTCTATCGTTCCAGCAGCTATGACCGTGCCGCTCTCACTGCATACAAGGAATGCCTCAGGTGCGTGTTGCTTCTGCCAGTGAATTAGCTGCACTCTAGTCGTGCCTCTCTATCGTTCCAGCAGCTACGACCGTGCTGCTCTCACTGCATACAAGGAATGCCTCAGGTGCGTGTTGCTTCTGCCAGTGAATTAGCTGCACTCTAGTCGTGCCTCTCTATCGTTCCAGCAGCTACGACCGCGCTGCTCTCACTGCATACAAGGAATGCCTCAGGTGCGTGTTGCTTCTGCCAGTGAATTAGCTGCACTCTAGTCGTGCCTCTCTATCGTTCCAGCAGCTACGACCGTGCTGCTCTCACTGCATACAAGGAATGCCTCAGGTGCGTGTTGCTTCTGCCAGTGAATTAGCTGCACTCTAGTCGTGCCTCTCTATCGTTCCAGCAGCTACGACCGTGCTGCTCTCACTGCATACAAGGAATGCCTCAGGTGCGTGTTGCTTCTGCCAGTGAATTAGCTGCACTCTAGTCGTGCCTCTCTATCGTTCCAGCAGCTACGACCGTGCTGCTCTCACTGCATACAAGGAATGCCTCAGGTGCGTGTTGCTTCTGCCAGTGAATTAGCTGCACTCTAGTCGTGCCTCTCTATCGTTCCAGCAGCTACGACCGTGCTGCTCTCACTGCATACAAGGAGTGCCTCAGGTACGTGTTGCTTCTGCCAGTGAATTAGCTGCACTCTAGTCGTGCCTCTCTATCGTTCCAGCAGCTACGACCGTGCTGCTCTCACTGCATACAAGGAATGCCTCAGGTGCGTGTTGCTTCTGCCAGTGAATTAGCTGCACTCTAGTCGTGCCTCTCTATCGTTCCAGCAGCTACGACCGTGCTGCTCTCACTTCATACAAGGAATGCCTCAGGTGCGTGTTGCTTCTGCCAGTGAATTAGCTGCACTCTAGTCGTGCCTCTCTATCGTTCCAGCAGCTACGACCGTGCTGCTCTCACTGCATACAAGGAGTGCCTCAGGTGCGTGTTGCTTCTGCCAGTGAATTAGCTGCACTCTAGTCGTGCCTCTCTATCGTTCCAGCAGCTACGACCGTGCTGCTCTCACTGCATACAAGGAATGCCTCAGGTGCGTGTTGCTTCTGCCAGTGAATTAGCTGCACTCTAGTCGTGCCTCTCTATCGTTCCAGCAGCTACGACCGTGCTGCTCTCACTGCATACAAGGAATGCCTCAGGTGCGTGTTGCTTCTGCCAGTGAATTAGCTGCACTTTAGTCTTGCCTCTCTATCGTTCCAGCAGCTACGACCGTGCTGCTCTCACTGCATACAAGGAATGCCTCAGGAGCGTGTTGCTTCTGCCAGTGAATTAGCTGCACTCTAGTTGTGCCTCTCTATCGTTCCAGCAGCTACGACCGTGCTGCTCTCACTGCATACAAGGAATGCCTCAGGTGCGTGTTGCTTCTGCCAGTGAATTAGCTGCACTCTAGTCGTGCCTCTCTATCGTTCCAGCAGCTACGACCGTGCTGCTCTCACTGCATACAAGGAATGCCTCAGGTGCGTGTTGCTTCTGCCAGTGAATTAGCTGCACTCTAGTCGTGCCTCTCTATCGTTCCAGCAGCTACGACCGTGCTGCTCTCACTGCATACAAGGAATGCCTCAGGTGCGTGTTGCTTCTGCCAGTGAATTAGCTGCACCCTAGTCGTGCCTCTCTATCGTTCCAGCAGCTACGACCGTGCTGCTCTCACTGCATACAAGGAATGCCTCAGGTGCGTGTTGCTTCTGTCAGTGAATTAGCTGCACTCTAGTCGTGCCTCTCTATCGTTCCAGCAGCTACGACTGTGCTGCTCTCACTGCATACAAGGAGTGCCTCAGGTGCGTGTTGCTTCTGCCAGTGAATTAGCTGCACTCTAGTCGTGCCTCTCTATCGTTCCAGCAGCTACGACCGTGCTGCTCTCACTGCATACAAGGAATGCCTCAGGTGCGTGTTGCTTCTGCCAGTGAATTAGCTGCACTCTAGTCGTGCCTCTCTATCGTTCCAGCAGCTACGACCGCGCTGCTCTCACTGCATACAAGGAATGCCTCAGGTGCGTGTTGCTTCTGCCAGTGAATTAGCTGCACTCTAGTCGTGCCTCTCTATCGTTCCAGCAGCTACGACCGTGCTGCTCTCACTGCATACAAGGAATGCCTCAGGTGCGTGTTGCTTCTGCCAGTGAATTAGCTGCACTCTAGTCGTGCCTCTCTATCGTTCCAGCAGCTACGACCGTGCTGCTCTCACTGCATACAAGGAATGCCTCAGGTGCGTGTTGCTTCTGCCAGTGAATTAGCTGCACTCTAGTCGTGCCTCTCTATCGTTCCAGCAGCTACGACCGTGCTGCTCTCACTGCATACAAGGAATGCCTCAGGTGCGTGTTGCTTCTGCCAGTGAATTAGCTGCACTCTAGTCGTGCCTCTCTATCGTTCCAGCAGCTACGACCGTGCTGCTCTCACTGCATACAAGGAATGCCTCAGGTGCGTGTTGCTTCTGCCAGTGAATTAGCTGCACTCTAGTCGTGCCTCTCTATCGTTCCAACAGCTACGACCGTGTTGCTCTCACTGCATACAAGGAATGCCTCAGGTGCGTGTTGCTTCTGCCAGTGAATTAGCTGCACTTTAGTCATGCCTCTCTATCGTTCCAGCAGCTACGACCGTGCTGCTCTCACTGCATACAAGGAATGCCTCAGGTGCGTGTTGCTTCTGCCAGTGAATTAGCTGCACTCTATTCGTGCCTCTCTATCGTTCCAGCAGCTACGACCGTTCTGCTCTCACTGCATACAAGGAATGCCTCAGGTGCGTGTTGCTTCTGCCAGTGAATTAGCTGCACTCTAGTCGTGCCTCTCTATCGTTCCAGCAGCTACGACCGTGCTGCTCTCACTGCATACAAGGAATGCCTCAGGTGCGTGTTGCTTCTGCCAGTGAATTAGCTGCACTCTAGTCGTGCCTCTCTATCGTTCCAGCAGCTACGACCGTGCCGCTCTCACTGCATACAAGGAATGCCTCAGGTGCGTGTTGCTTCTGCCAGTGAATTAGCTGCACTCTAGTCGTGCCTCTCTATCGTTCCAGCAGCTACGACCGTGCTGCTCTCACTGCATACAAGGAATGCCTCAGGTGCGTGTTGCTTCTGCCAGTGAATTAGCTGCACTCTAGTCGTGCCTCTCTATCGTTCCAGCAGCTACGACCGCGCTGCTCTCACTGCATACAAGGAATGCCTCAGGTGCGTGTTGCTTCTGCCAGTGAATTAGCTGCACTCTAGTCGTGCCTCTCTATCGTTCCAGCAGCTACGACCGTGCTGCTCTCACTGCATACAAGGAATGCCTCAGGTGCGTGTTGCTTCTGCCAGTGAATTAGCTGCACTCTAGTCGTGCC